GATATTTTAGTTCATAAACTCAAATTACACGTCATACCATCCATATAAAGAGATGGTACCACTATATGAATTTGGGATTCTAGTTTTTTCAAGTTACTCATTAATTACCACTACATATAATTTCCATAAATTTAAAATTCTGAATCCACCTACCTCCGACTATAAATTAAACTCCAATTGATGCATTTTTGGTGCTTGTTGTTTTCTACAGAGACGTTTTCAGTTTGGATTTCAAAAAACACCTCAAGGCAATCTTAGATAATTTCTCTTTTGCCATTGACATTAATCTTTGTTGCCAAATCAACTTACACTATATATTGATGAACCTACGCGCATCGCTTTCATGAGGTTTATAATGTTTGATTTGATATATATCCATCATCCCTTGTGAAGCCTTGCCCCCACGTACATTCTTCAATCATATATACTTGAGTAAGTGCCATGCATGTTTGCCAGATTGGAGAAATTAAAGTTTAGTTACTTTGGGGTACGAGTACTGAAGCTTATATGTGTGAATATCGACTCTTTTTGCTGTTCATTCTACTACTTTCTTGCTGCCGGAAAAAGACGTGAGTAAACACATGGGGAGATTTTCATGACAGGAGGAGGAGCATCAATGTATTGGTGCTGCACAGCACTTACAACAACTTGCTATGGGGATTTAGTTTAAACTCCTATTAGTGATGCATGGTAACATTGGTTATCTTCATTTAAGCGAAATTAAAAATTAAGTTGTCATTTGTATCAATTTTAGTCAAGTATTTGAAGGAAAACACTCTCACTATAGTATTACTAGTGTCATTCTTCCTTCTCTTGGCGTGACCATAATAATCGCAAAAATTAAGCTCCATCACTACATCATTTTTGGTGCTTTTTGTTTTATTTACAGCAATGGGCTGCATATAATTCCGATCAAAGTTAATTTCTAAAAATAAGGTATAAGTTGAGTCAATAAGTACTTATCCCATATGCCTATAGGTCCTATAAAGATTTAAAAAGGATTCATAGTAATAATTTCCCCCCCTTTTTTTTTTTTTAATTTGGAGAGGCAAAAAGAGAGTCCTAAAGTTATTAAACCTCAACATAAATCATCTGATAAATATATGCTCTATAATGAAAGAGTTTCAGACCTAAAAATAAAAATAACGCGTCCAATCAGAAGAACGAACATGAATCTATCAATTCCCGAAGAAATTATGTTTGAAATATTCTCATGGCTTCCGATCAAGTCTTTATTGCGTTTCAAGTCTCGGAATCAGATTTTGTGAATATCCATGCTTGTCGTTCTATGAGTCGTCTTGGTGGAAAAAAATTCGTTTTACATGAAAGCGAATCAGTTTTTGGCATTGCTGAGCAAACAGAAGATGAAAAATACTCTGCTCCGTTTTTGCAAATTACGAAATTTAATGACATATATGTCCAAGGATTTTCATATTCTCCATTGGATTATGTTAATGGTTTATTTTGCCTTTGGGGACTGTTATCTACCCGTCCTGCTACAATTTTCAATCCAGAGTACAAGAGAAGTAAGATTTCTTCCAAAAATAAAGGAAGAATATTCTATGTGTAACTATTCATAAGGTTTTGAGCCCGAAGAAAGAAGTTCAAAGTTTTTTTTACAACATATGAAAGGTACAAACAAAGACACCGGGTTATCACTTTAGGCATAGACGAATCATGGAGAGAGACTAAAAGCATTTCCTTTGCTATTCGGTGTTTAAAGCCTAGTGTTTGCATTGATGGAGTTATCTATGTGTTTAATGATCGTGCTATAGCTGCAATTGATGTTAAATCTGAAAAATCCGAAACATTTGCATTGTGGAATGCACCTCATCTATCGATGTACTATTACGAGTTGATAGAGGTGAAGGGTAAATTAGAAGTCATAGATTACAAAAAATGGGTAAGTGGATACGTGGACTTGTGGATTTTAGAGCAGGCTCCAATAAGAAAATGGGAGAGACATATCATTCGCATTCCTTCAACATGGAACAATATATTACGATTGCAATCATCTAACTATAATCATCAAATCACATCATTATGCAAATTTAGCAATGGGGATATTCTCTTCATTGTGAACTTAAATCCGGGTGTTTTATATTTGTGTTATGATGTCACAAGAAAGAGTTGGAAGGAATTAAAAATCAAGGGGCTTCCTAAGGAGAGGTACATCAAAGGCATTTATACTTATGTCGAAAGACTAGTTATGTAGAAATTAAGTCTCGTCTCTTTCCATTTGAGAACAATTCAAGACTTGTTATACCAACCACGAAAAGTGAAGTGTTGAATCACTCGCCATTCTATTTCTGAATTGTGTGTTTATGTCAATTTGCATATCTCTGTTTGCTCTTTTTTTCTTCCCATGTCATATAGCATCAATTAGTATGTGTGTGTTGGATATTATTTGCAAATATTGCTGTCTGAAAAATAATAAGACATTTGAATGCTGGAAAAAAGAGGGTGCACTTTACTGCATAAACCTCTGTGGATAGAGTTAACTGTCACCTATGCTGGTGGGAGTAACAAATATCTCGTGTAATTAGTTGAGGTATGGATAACTTGGCCCGGACACCACAATTATCTCAACGACCTTCATTTCTTTGTTGGTAAGAGCATGGCTATTTTTAACATTAATCCTGGTCGTCTGAAGTTCAATTTGGTACTTTTAGCTTGGTTTTGCGCACTTTATGTGGATTGATTGAAGAATCAACATATATACTTAAGATTTTAGTCACTTCACTACATGAAACAGTCTTCTATCAACTCTGGAAGCAACCAACAGTAATATGAAGATGAGGATACATTATATAATGTTATATCGTCATATATACGTACCATTGCTGATTTTTCCTGAACTGAGTTAGAACATGGTATATGCATGTTCTCAAAGACGGTATGTATCTCATCTCTACCCTTAAATACATATAAAAATTAATGTGTAGTACGTAAACCACATATAGAAATTTAGTGAAGAAGATAGATATATAATATACTTGTTTCCAGTAATATGAAGATGACGATACGTTTGTATAATGCTTTACTGATTTTTCCTGAACTGAGTTAGAACATGGTATATGCATGTTCTCAAAGGCAGTATATATCTCATCTCTACCCTGAAATACATATAAAAATTAATGTGAAGAAGATAGATATATTATATACTTGTTTGAGTTGCTAGGGCCTATGCTCATGTCAATTGTTGATTCTTCCTGAGCTGGGCCATTCAGTAAAGTTTCGGTTTTTGATAGGAGTAGATACTTTCTAGGGAAGAACCGGGTATATGTTCTCAAAGACAAAACCTATCAATGAAGCTGGGCACGCCTGAAAAGCTTGAAGTTTCGTTGATCAAGTGAAGAGTATCGGAAAACCTAGGCTTCAGGGCTTAAGTTAAACGATCCATAGCATTCATTGCTGCCTGCTAATAAGCATTTGTTCATAGACAAAACAAAATACATAAAACATTTGTCCGACTCCTCTAGCCAACTGAAACTCCTTTTTTTTGTTTCATTTACTGATTTCTTGATTGCTCCAACACCATCACAAAATAAACACCATTGAATTTCTTAAGAATTTGTACTTCAATGGATTTCCATACATTTGTGAGCCGAGGTGATATTTTCTAGGGAAATCAGTACCTCTGTTTCAATGTTCCTTAGTTAATAGACCATCATTCTTTGCCCATAAAATATAATTTGGATTTGACTCAACTTTGATAATCTCCTTTGCTGGCTCGCTGCATTCGATAAAAAAATGTGTCATGTCTAAACATTGAATCAATGGCTCCATTTGAGATCGTCATAGCAGGTAACTGAATCAACTTTATTCTATATTTTCAACATACACATATTTATAGCTTTAGCTCTGTAAGATTAATCTAAATTACTTATGTTTCAGTTGCAAGGTTGTCAATCCTTGATCTTTTCACAACGATTCTACTACACAAAACTTGTTAAAATTCACATTTGCTAATGCATCGTCTCGTCTGATCATAAAAAAGATAGAGTAAGTATAATTCAGAAAGTGAGGGCTTAATCTAAATCTAGGCCAATTTCATGATCGTTCTATTCAAAGGAGGGTTTTTTCCATCATTAATTCAAGTCAAAACCCTCCTCAAGAGAAACACCCTAGTTTCTAAGGCTTAAGAATCAAAATTCAAGTTAGGGAAGTGATTAACTTATCTTTACCCAAGAAATTGGTGGAAAACTCAGGAAAGTTATCCTTTCTCCAAGATCAAAGTTGCAGAATAATGGGATGTTTTGGGACTATTCTGCACAAATCCGACTAACCCCGCTATAACGGCTTTCACGGAACAGAAACTCAGAACTCTCTCCAAAAGTTCTCATTTCGCAACACACCTTCAAACTGTGATGTTTCAAACCCACTCATTTACGCCAAGTTCGATATCGGGAGTTCTACTCACCTGAATTCACTTCCGAAAGACTCTATGAATTCCTTATTGTCTTAGCTAATAGTAAACATGATCCAAGCACAGACATACCACCCTATCTATTTCCAAATGACTTTAAACCACACCTCACTCAAATTTCCCCTAAGACTTACCTAACCTCAAATTTTCAAGTCACTATCCAAAAAAAAATTTGACCCGAATTTTTCACCATTGGTCTATCTATAACGACCGGAAAGCATCGTTACATTTACTCTACCGCTTGGTTATACCATTCCTTTAGATTCTCTTTTGTCATTAGAATTATAATTCAAAAGCACTTTTGAATAACTTGTAAATAACCTGCAAATGAGAAATTTATTTCCCCGCCATTGTATAGGAAGTTGGGTACATATTCTAGTTCTAGTTAAGTAATGATCCTACAACATAACAGTGTTTTAGGGGCAATTAACTAAATGCCGCTAATTTTTCCTTTAACATCATCTATTAGCGGCAATTAAACTTTTGCCGCGAATAAGTAACTTTTAGTGGCAACTAAAATAAAAGCCATTAAAACATCCCCAAACCCTTTATACGCTCATTCCTTTAATACTCCAAAAAACTCTCATTCTTTCTGCTCTGCCTCAATCCAAACCTACATTCCCGTTTTGAGTTCATTCATTTCATCATCGCCACTGCTTCGCTTCGTTCCATCATTGAGGGCTTTCAATTTTGATGTTGATGACTATCTTCAGGTATGGTATTTCTTTATCTACTTCATGATTTCTGTTCAGATCTCGGACTATTTTGGATTCATATGTTCTGGTTGTAATTTGAAAATTTTCTTCTCACACAATCAATTGCATATTAGAGTATTACAGTGCGTTTTTATGAGTAAAACATGTTCACGTTTATCACTCCTTTACCATTCAATGTATTACACCTCTAAATTGAACCCTAATACAAACATGCAATAAGATTTATAGTCTATAACTGAATTTTATGGTGGATTATTGCTTAATTTGAGTCTGATTCATAAATTAGAAGTATTTATTATTCAATCGCAGTACTTTTCTAATTTTGTTCAAGTTCTGGAAATTTCAATGTTAGATCCTGGTAGTGGAAACAATTACTCATGTCTGAAGGTTGTTGAAATTTTTGGTTTAGAACACATAAATGTTGGATATCTTTTGAGGAAGGAGACGTATTCTCGTAGTTAAAGTAGGCATCCGTCTTCTAGTTTTAACAGTGGTTCATCTTTAGTTTAGTTCTATTTTGATGAGACCAAAAACGTATCAGATCGAGATTGATGGTTCAAAAATAATGAACGTAATTTGAAAAGACGCTTAATCTAAGAAACTCCTTTGCTTTTCTGCTTTGTTTTCATTTTCTGTTTCTCTAGTATGTTTCTTGGCCTCTTACTTTATGAGAACTTTTTTTAACCAAGGAATCTCTGAGGGAAGTTGGCGCAATTTGAAGCTCGATTTGAATAAGAACTTGAAGAAGCGGGATATGAGCAAAAGTTTTAAAGAAACTCGGTAAGGACATGCCATAATATGGCTTCAGTGTTGTGCAGATTGGGAATCACTGTTGGTTATGGAACTAATCATGAGGTTTGTTTACACTCAGTCTCTAAAGGTTTTGTTTACTTAATTTTTAAACTACTTGAATCTTTTGAAGGCAAATAATTTCAGGGGACATGCTTTTTTTTGAAATAGAGTTTCAGGGGACATGCTTTTAAATTACAGTGGCATTATTATTTTCCCCTGTTCTGATTTTTGGTTGGTGAACTCTCTTATTTTTTAGCAATCATATGATTCTTTTGTATTGGTCTTATTTAAGAGAGGTTCATTTGAAACATAAATGGAAGTCCACTACAAATCTGCTTCTTCTGCAGATGAGCAACTTAGATGATTTGATTGCATATGCATTAAGTTGTAGTTATCAACCTAACTTACACTTTGGCTAATATGAGTGCTACAGATTGTACATGTATATGGTCCTAGTTTGCCAACTATGGTGTCCCAGAATGTAGTTTAATTAAAATAGTAATGGTCATTTTTCTACTCTTGAGACATTAGAAAAATATTATATTAGTCAAACTTCTACTATACATATCATCACGTTCCAACTTCTATTGCAATCTATTCTAATTATTACCTGAAAGGAATTAGATGGCTTAATCTTGATGAAGGTTGGTGTATTACATATTGCATTAATGTGTTGTATTAAGATTAAGGCTTATTTAAGTAGGTTCACATATATTGTTAAAAGTTTGTTTTGGGTAGATACTGCTAATGGTCCTTTTGAAAAAGATGTCTATGCTTTGAATTTTGCAATCTTGAATTACTTTGTTATCCTAAATGTATGGAACTATGCAAGGTTATGGTGCTTGGACTCTTCAAAAATATTGTCAAGTGCGTGTTGGATCCTCCAAAAGTAAGTTCATTACTTTGATAAGACAAATTTCTAACTTCATTACTGCCCGAGGCCAACTTCTATTCATTTTTACTTTTGCCCAAGTTATTGAATTTTCTCGACAGCCAATGTATGATTTTGTCTTCATTTTATGCATCTAATATATACTTTTCGTGAATGGTTCAAGTGTTGGACTACAATGTACCGGGTGGTTGGAATAAAGTGCTACTTCTAGCTATTCTTTGTATCTAATATATACTTTTCATAATTGCGGGCTCTCTGTTATTGATAATTACAGCTTGTTGGAAGATGGGAAAAACTAACTAGTGAGAACATCTTTCAAACATCTTCCCTTGGATGGTGCATTGAATAGGTTTGCAACTTAAGCACATGAGCACGTTTGGTTTTGAGAGGGACTATTGTTTTAATAATTTTCGCAGGTTGGTGTGATTGTTTCTAATGATGGAATACTTCTTCATAACTACATCCAAGAATTCTGAAGAACCACTTTAGAAGAAAGCCTTATTATGTTGATCTTCTTGAATTGTTTAATGAGGTGAGATCTTTTACGTACAAGGAGGCTTTTAATTAAACACCTTTTATTGTTTTTCTGTGTTTTTTTATACATGAATGGCGATAGGACACTGAGTTTTTTACTTTTAATATCCATGGAAGTTCTGGTGATGTTAGTAACATTCGTAGAATGGTGTTGTTGATTGAATAAAGATGCATGCGTGGTTGTTGTTTTATTTTTTTGGATTCTTAAGTGGTAGTTGATGATTTCATTAAAGGTGGTAATTTTGCTACCAGTTTAAATCCTTTATGGTATTCTTAAAGTCCATCATTTATCGATGTGACAGTTCCCTTGTCAATGTGACAGGGCCCTCGCTTCTTCAATTTTCTATAAGTACAATCCCGTTAAGGTATTTCTGATCTTGTAAACTTGCTCGTCAACTCCTTTAATATGTCGAGTTCACTTAACATGCAACGTTTATTTTCTTCTTGCTTGTTCAGACGTATTTCATGAGCACAATTAAGATGAGCCTGAAGCTCAACCCGAGAGGCAAACTGCTAAATAGACTCTTAGCTCAGAGATATTGCAGGACGCAATGTTAGCGATAACGTCAAGCATCTGACACCAGAGGCGAATCCAGGATTTTAAGAAAACGGGTGCACCATTGCTTTAAAGATAATATCAAAAAATTTATAATAACAATAACTAAGCGAGCAATACATAAAAATTACATTACCACAAAAAATATCATCAGTTTACAATTGTACTCGACAAGACTTCATATTTTGAAAACGATCTATAATAGCATCATTATTTACATTTTCAAATATCTTCCGCTCTATCTTACAAACTAAACATCCATTCAAAAATTCTTCACCAATGCTATTCAACTTAGTCACAAATTTAACTAG